AAAAAAAAAAAAAAAAAGAATTAGATTCTGAATCATTCTTCTCCACTATTTTCAGTTTTGTTGCCTAAAATTTCCTCCTTTTCTTGGCCAGTGTCTGTCCTTGCATTAAAACCCGACTCAACATTTACTGTCTCTAGAAGCCTTCCCTGTTTTATGACAACTACCCTGAATCTCTTAGGATGTCTTCTTTTGAGGGGGAGGGGAAGATTGTAACCAAAATATATCCCTTACCATCATACTCAATGGATATTTGTTAACCTTGGCTCGTGGATATAGACACCTAGTTGCCTATAGTTTTTTTGTTGTTGTTGTTCTGTTTTGGTTTGGTTTTTTGACTTAGGATTAAGCCAGATATATCAGACCAAATTTTCAAGGCGTGAGAATTTCTGGTGGTAACATAACTCACTTTGTTCCTTAACAGTGTGTGGATCCCTACCAACACCCTCAAGATCCAGTTGGACACCCAGTGATGCACCAGTCGGCCATCAAGCATGCCACAGGAGAAGCTGTGTTTATTGATGACATGCCTCCCATCAACCAAGAACTCTTCCTGGCTATAGTCACCAGTACCAGAGCTCATGCAAAGATCATGTAAGGAAGTAAAAGATGTTTCTATATAGTACTGAAGTACATTCACACTTTCACATTCAAACTGAGAGCTTGTTACATATTTAAGCCAATTAAGAGTATTCATTTTTCTCTTCCGAATGGGAATCAGTCATTTTTTAAGTGTAGTTATAAAAGAATCTATAACCAAGAGTTCGAACACCTGCCAAATATTGGTATTTTTCAACATAGAATATTGCTTCATAATTTGGTTACAAGGTCCATTGTCGTTTTTCCCTGTGTTTGAGGAATCATTTATATCACACATTGAACTTTAATATCTACCTTCGAATTTTCTCTCCTAGATCAATTGATATTTCAGAAGCCCTGGCACTTCCAGGTGTGGTTGATGTGATAACAGCAGAAGATGTTCCGGGAGATAATAATCATCACAGAGAGATTATCTATGCACAGAACGAGGTGTGTGATTTGTGTGTAGCTTATTATTTTAATACTTTGCTGAAAATGCCAAAATGATTATTGGTTATGACTATAATATCCATGGGTTAATGTTCATTCACAAAGACTTATCGGGAACCAGTGACTCCATATTAGTGATTCGCAACTTCTCTTTTGAATCATGAACCACTTTGATATTCTGATAAAAGCCCTAAATCCTCTAGGGAAGGCTTCTAAAAGGTCATGGAAGTCATGGGAGCAAGATAGAGCATAGGACATTGAAAGAACCAGCAAAATGTCAGGATAACTGGATCACTGCGTGTGTTGTGGTTATGGTGAGGGATGTGGCTAAAGACAACCAGAAGGCAGATATTTAAAACAAGATAATTGGCTGGGCACGGTGGCTCACGCCTGTAATCCTAGCACTCTGGGAGGCCAAGGTGGGAGGATCATTTGAGCTCAAGAGTTCGAGACCAGCCTGAGCAAGAGTGAGACCCCATCTCTACTAAAAAAATAGAAAGAAATTAGCTGGACAACTAAAAATACGTATAGAAAAAATTAGCCAGGCATGGTGGCACATGCCTATAGTCCCAGCTACTCAGGAGCCTGAGGCAGTAGGATGGCTTGAGCCCAGGAGTTTGAGGTTGCTGTGAGCTAGGCTGACGCCATGGCACACTAGCCCAGGCAACAGAGTGAGACTCTGTCTCAAAAAAATAAATAAATAAAATCAGATAATTAATTTCTGTGTCCAACTTTTTGTGCCTCCTAAATCCCACTCAAGCCACTGTTTTGAGTTTATTCTCATAGGTAGGAAACAATCTTTCCCTAGGTCACGAAAACCCAGTGGGTAAATGTAAGAATGTGGGAACAGTAATTCCTTTGTAATGATTCTACCTTTTAGCTAATTACAACATGTGGCGTTTCTGCAGGTAATTTGTGTGGGTCAGATCGTCTGCACTGTGGCAGCTGACACCTATGCTCATGCAAAAGAAGCGGCTAAAAAACTGAAGATCACTTATGAAGACATAGAACCAAAGATTATCACAATAGAGGTAGTCGGACCACTTTGTGTCTTCTAGAATGATTAGGGCAGTGTACTTCGGGCAGAATTCAACTCAGAGAGTCGTGAAATAGCATAAGTTGGGCTCCATCTATGCTCTGCTCAGTGTTGTCTATAGTTCTGGAGTGAAGGTTCCAGCAATCTGCACCTCAGGATGGAACACTGAAACCTTTCCTGCTAGACCCCTCCTTCCCAGCAGTGCTTCTGTAGGAACCCACGGAAATGAAGCATCCTGTGCCCACGTCCCCTGTGACCTCTTGCCAAGGCATGGCCTGAAAATACAGATAAGCAACACCAGAGAAATGTCCTTATGACCTCACATATGAAACTAGTCAGTGGGAAAATCCAGAGCACTGTGGAACTCATAAAAGTTGTCGCATTTACTGTATTGGATCATCTGTCTCCCTGTCCACTTACTGCTTAAGTGCAGACTCCAGACTACTTGGATTCACAATCTGACTCTGCCATTTAGTAACCTCTTTTTTTTTTTTTT